CTCACCCCTGCAGGAGCTCCAAACCAGGTTGGATGGGGCCCTGGGCAGCTGAGCTGGTGGGGAGCAGCCCTGCCCATGGCAGGGGTTGGGGCTGGGTGGCTTTAGTGTCTCTTCCAACCTAAACCATTCCACGTCTGTATGATTCTCTGATGCCCTAGGACAACCAGCTCAGACTAAACGCAAACTTTTACACCACAGGCATCCTGACACAGACAGGATCTGGAAAATCAGCCACGAGCCTAAACATACGCTTTGCCTGCATGGGGCTGGAATGCACAGCAGTGTAAGGTGGGGTACCCTGAGGTGCCAATCACACAGCCTCCAACTCAGCGCCACTCAGCTAACCCTGCTGCTCCTGCTCGTGGCTCGGTACGGGTGCAACACTGAACAAGCCCAAAGAGCAGGATTATCCCTTAGCTGCTCAGCAGAAAGGGACAACCACGAGACCTTTCACAGAACATAACACACCCTGCAATTCAGCGACTGCTCAACCAGGCAGCACAGCAAGCAGAACGGTGACAACATAGCACAGGGATAAAGGAATAAACCCCGGATAGAACTGTGTCCTCCTGGCAAGGCACGGGGGCTGCCAGTGCCTTAAGCCGGGGCCGGGGAGCAAAAAGCTCCGCAGACTCCCACACACAGCGATCGGAGCGGTAGTGACGGCACAGCCCTCCGTAAGGACCCAGCTTCGGGGCTAAGCTCCCCTCCCACAGCCCGGCCAGCAGCCGACCTGTTACCTCTCATCTCACAGCCCGCTGCCCGCTCCCACGTTCCCCCACTACAACCGCAGCCGGCGACCGCGCCCAGCCCTGCCGTTAGGAGCCACGGGACGCATCCCGCTCCACCACAGCCCGTCCCCCCCAGCCGGCGGACCGCACGGTAACGGGGGGGAGGTATGGCCCCCCTGCCCTGCCCTGCCCTGCCCTGCCCTGCCCGCGCCGCGGGGCAGCCTTACCGCGCGGCCAGCATGGTGCTCCCCACGTCCCCACCGTGGCTAGGCACCGCCGCGGCGCCACGCCTGCCCCAGGCACGCGGTCCTCCAGAACCATAGAGGCGCGGCTGGACGGCGCGCCAGTGCTCTTGCGCGGCCCTTCCGCTGGGGTGCTCCCGCCCCCAGGCAGGGGGGTGGCGGGCGCTCATGGCAGGGCTGGATGGGGCCCTGGGCAGGCTGAGCTGCTATGGGGCAGCCGTGCCCACGGCTGGGGTTGGAGCTGGGTGGGCTTTGAGCTCCCACCAACCCAAACCGTTCTGTGATTCTCTGATTCTGTGATACGTCTTCAAAAGCAATAGCGCAGAGTAACGCTCCTTGTATTTCTAGTATATGGATGTTCGTTTCTCTTTAATTGCACTTTAATTGCATGGACTTGTTAATTCTGCATTTACCCTATATTCTGAGCAGTACTACCACAATATTTCCGTACCTCTCTGATATAAATGGCCATTTTTGCCAGTGTTGATAAACTGTAGGTTGCTTGAAAAAAATATCTGAAAGCAACTGTGAACTCATAAATGTCAATTCTGAGTATTAGCAACAACAACAACAAAATAGCCAAGCGAAATGCTCAGAGAATCCTGAATGCTGCCCTCACACTAGTCAGGAAAAATAACAGATCAACACTGAGTATTATCTGAATATGCATTGTCTGTATTTTGCTCTGGAGATCTGACAAAGAGATATAATTTGGACAGAAATACTTGTAAACAAAACTGTAATTAAAAAAAAAAAAAAATTAACTCACTGCATTTTAGTGCAGCTGAGCTTTTCTTATCCTTCTTTATTTATTATAAACAACAAGTCATAAGAGAGGCACTAATTTAGTAATTTGAGGAAACTTCCAGCAATTGAAAAAATCAAAAATTGAAGAGTTTGATTAGTGGAAAGCAAGAAAAGAAAGCTGGTGCCAACGCTTTGAGCCTTTCCCTCCAGCCTTCAACAGAGGAGAAAATTCAGACAATTAGATGCAACTGAAAAACATGTTGTCAGTGGAAGTGTCAAGCTGAGCTTCCCAACTCTCTGAATCAAATGTTTGATCACATCACCATTAAAGGATCCTGGGGAATCAGCATGACTGTTTCCTGCGGGCTGAGACCAGACTGGGCTTCTGTCTCTGTGTGGAAAACATGCCTTAGAAAAATACATAGCGCCTCATATGCTTGTATTAATACCAGTTAATACCAGGACACTTACACTAATTCCCATCAGAAGTACAAATAAATAGGCTGACTGAGCCCTCAGGAAATCATCTGGAGTTTAGGTATCAATTTCTGCTACATCAAGAGTGACATCAGCAACTGAGAAACGAAACTAGTGGAATGTGTCCCTGCCCACAGCAGGGGAGGGTGGAACTAGATGATCTTTAGGGTCCCTTCCAGCTCAAAACACTTGGTGACTCATTCTGTGATTCTAAGATGACATGAAACATTCTTAAAGGCAAATGGACCTGAGGCAAGTGTTAGAAGCTGCTTCAAAAGTGCAAAGCTCAGCAGCCAGAAAACTGAGTTCTTGTAGAACCACTTTGTTAAATATGCTTGCTATTACACTGAAAAAAATACCAGTGGTAACACTACATCATAAGCTCTGAGATCTTGATATCTTAATCATGAGTAGGGTTTTTTTATGAGGTGGAGTAGGGTTGTTGAGTTGTTTTTTTCTGTATTTGCTACTGATTCATAAAACTATTTTTGAGGCTAGGAGTTCTTACAGTATTTTATTCTTGTGCCTTGTGAGTTTGAAATCTAACTCCAATCAACTGGGTTAACACAAAGTCAGCATATTTCTAAGCTACTTAGAGCAAGACTCAAAAACGTTCAGGCTGGAAAATGTGGGTTTGTTTGTTTGATTGGGTTTTTTTTTGTTTGTTTTTTTGGTTTTTTTTCTCTGAAACTTCTAAAATCACAACTCTTCTGACTTGAAAATGAAAGAAACCAGGCACTTTCTGCTCTTACACAACAGGAAGAGTGTATTACTTCCTCATTATGAAATAAAAAATAGTTGAGACAATTCATGTGCTGTTTTTGACAGACAGCATTCCCCATTTCTGATCCCAGAGAGATTATGTCTAGGAGTTGAAAAGACATCTATTCATGAAATCCGTTGTAGTTAGGCTGGACCTGGTTTTGGTAGCTCATTTTGGTTGTCTCCCTGCCAGATTTTCAGGATTTTCAGATCCATATCTCCTCCTGAACAAATGTCATCTTCTACTGGCTATTGACTGAAAGGCTGAGAGACCTGGAACTGTTCAGCATGGAGAAGGCTGAGAGGGGATCTCATGTGAGAGTCAAGTTGATGGGGCGAACTCTTTTTAGTGGTGAGCAGCAATAGAACAAGGGGCAATGGGCAGAAACTGGGATGCAAAAAGTTCTGTACAAACACAAGGAAAATCTTCTTCACTGTGAGGGTGACAGAGCCCTGGGACAGGCTGCTCAGAGAGCCTGTGGAGCTTCCTTCTCTGGAGACATTTAAGATCCATCTGGACACTTTCCTGCGCAACGCAACGTGCTATAGAGAATCTGCCTCAGCAGGGGGTTGGACTCAATGACCTCCAGAGGTCCCTTCTAGCCCCTACAGTTCTGTGATTCTGTGATTTTGTGACTGCCACTTCCTGTTTTGGGTATGCTTCTGCTTTTTGGACATCTCTGTATTTGCTCCAATAGAGGGTAAACTGAATTTAGGGTGAATGTAAGATGCTAGAGCCTCCCAGGACTCTAAGCATATGCCAGATGATTTTCTTGACTGAGCCATACAGTTTTTTTGCAGTATCATGTTCCATACTGGTCCCTATGTCTAAATGAAGACAAACTTCTTAAGTCATTGTGTGCACTGAAAAACAGGGTGTGAGTGTTGTGAAAATGTTCTGAGATCTGTGTTTTAAGAACTGCTATTCTGCATGACTTAATGTCTTCACATACCCCAAATTACTATTGAAACCGGTTAAACCAGATAAAGGATGAGAGGAGAGGAGAGGAGAGGAGAGGAGAGGAGAGGAGAGGAGAGGAGAGGAGAGGAGAGGAGAGGAAGCTCATTTACAGTATCTAGGAGTGGATGTGATAGTTGCAAGGTTTATAGAAAAAGATGAAAATAAAACTGTGTGTATTCCAAGTAATTCTCTACTTCTCATCCAAGTGGCGTATCTGGTAGGCCTACAGCTGTGCATATCATTTAGCTAGGATCCAGTGGACATTCACATTATTTGTAGGTTACATTTCATACTCCAAAGCTGCCTTGAAGTGCTCTATTAAGACAGAATTTCTTCAACAAATGTCAGGCTTACGGCCCTGATCTGGTCAGGGAACAACAGCTTGGCTGGGCACTGTGTGAGCCCTCATCAGGGCATGGTGACAGTTTTGGCTGGGAGGGTACCTCAATATTGGGCATTTTTGTTCTCCAAGGAATCTGGTTTCCCCCCCTGCCAGTAAGCACATGCAGGAAGGTCTGTGTGCCTGTGATGGCCAAAGGGCTGTCTGTGTATGTGCACTCTTGTTGGGAGAGTGGATGCCCTGAGGAGGAAGGGGACCATAACCCTCCAATACAGAGTTTGATGTCACAGAATCATAGAATCGCTCAGGTTGGAAAAGACCTTAAAGATCATTGAGTCCAACCACAACCATACTACCCTAACTAACAACCCTGTGCTAAGTCGTGTCCCTGAGCACCACATCCAAACGGTTTTTAGACACATCCAGGGATGGTGACTCAACCACCTCCCTGAGGTGGAGGTGGTTATATGCACTATAGGCAGCTACGGAGGCTTTTATTTCATACAACAAGTGATAAACAAGTGGCAAAGCCCGCCGCACACGAGAGCCCCGAGCCGCTGAGAGAAGGCTCCGCCAGGGGGCGCCGTGGGGGCGGGGAGTCACGAGACATCCGCAGCAGCTGTTGCTGGCAGGGCGAGGCAAGATTCCGGGGAGGGGCGCTGCCATTGGCTGAGGGCGAGCGCTGCGGACGCTCCCATTGGCTCTCGTGCGGGGAGAGGCGGGCGCGGTCGTCTATAAATGGAGGCGGAGGCGCCGGCGCAGGCACATTTGGAGTTCGAAGCGTCACCGCAGCTGGTGGAAAGTCGTCTGCTTGCCGAGCGCCGCCGGGACATGCTCGCAGCCTGACTGACCGCAGGTGGCCGCCGCGCCCGGGACACGAATGAAGAAGCAGCTGCTCCTCCTGTTCACGCACCGGGGACTCGTCAGCCGAGGGGGCCGCAGGGGGAAACGCCGTCGAAAATGGCTTCGTTCAGTATCCGCGCCGCGCGTCCTGAGGACTGCTCCGATCTGCTGCGACTGATCAAGGTGCGGGCGCGCGGGGGGGGGGGGGGGGGGGGGGGGGGAGAGCGGCCCGGGGGAGGCGGCTGACTTGTTGTGTTGTTCCAGGAACTAGCCAAGTACGAGGACATGGAGGATCAAGTGGTGCTAACCGAGAAAGGTAGGCAGGCAGGCGGCGGCCGCCCGCCCTGCTGCGGCCCGGTGCCAGCGCCTGCGGCTGAGCTGTCCGTTTGTTTTGCTTTCGTAGAGCTGCTTGAGGATGGCTTTGGCGAGCACCCTTTCTACCACTGTCTCGTTGCGGAAGTGCCGAAAGAACAGTGGTCGTCTGAAGGTGAGGCTTTGTGCCGCTCGTTTTTACGCGAGTGATACTTTGTGCTTATCGTGAGCTGTCTGACGTTAGGTTCCAGCGAGGAGCTGGGGTAGCAGGAACAGGCTAAGCTTAAATGCCGTAACATAGAGTGATGCTGTTCTGAAGTAGTTGCTAATCTTGGAGATGTTGGATGATCAGGTGTAACAATGTACTTAATGCCAAGTAATTAAATGGCTTTTCTTGTTTGACCCTAACTTAACCTTATGTAATCCTGTTGAATCACATGTTTTCTTTAATTTGTCCCCAATCTTCAGGTTACAGTCTCTAGCTTCGCCATGTACATGGCCCTTCTGTGTACATGGATGGGCGGGGAGGTAACTAAAAGATCCGTTACACAATAAAGTAGATGATCATAATATGAGGTAAGGTCTACAGGGACAAGTGCTATTCCCAAACCTTTACCAAAGACACAGTAGATCGGAAGTTTATGCACGCTTCCTTTAGAGTATGTGCAGAGTATTATGGTAGATGTTACGATTTCTAAGACTTAGTTTTGAGTATGCTACTGCTGAAAGAGTTAGTTTCTCTTTCCTGTTGAGCAGTGCAGTTGTACTTGAAGCTGCAGCTTTATTTAGCTTGACTTGCTGGTGCTGAAGACAAAACAGTGCAATACTATCAGTGTGCACATAAGTTGAAGTATCAGAAATGCTGCTGAAACAGTTGTCTGTGAGCACACCTTCTCTCACAGTACCTACTGATAGATGCATTGGAAGATGAACATTCTGTAGAGTTTCATTCTGTAGAGTTTCTTAGATTGTTGGGGTTGCCAAGAAGCAGAGTTGGGGCGGTTACGTAGGTTTTGAACTGCTCTGTAATGCTTTGTATTCCAGAAAGGAAATACTGATAAATCAGTAGGGTATGTATTTGTAGAGAAAAAGCCTTTGTTCACTGCTTACTGTAACATTGCTCTTGAGCATTTCAGGGTGTGAAGAGGGCAGTCTTCTGTTAGGTTGATGCAAGTTTGTACTTATGTTTTCAGTTGTGCTTAATTCTTATTCTAACCTTATAGCAAATGGCTGCATGTCACAATCTGTATATTTAAACATGCATGTAAGACTTAACTTTGATTAGTAGTTTTAGATCAGCTAAAGATGCATGCTTTGTTTCAGGGCACAGCATTGTGGGCTTTGCTATGTATTACTTCACTTATGATCCATGGATTGGAAAGCTGTTGTATCTTGAAGATTTCTATGTAATGGCTGAGTACAGAGGTAAGTACTACAGATTTAGATGAGTTGCTTCCAATAGGGCTACTTTAAAATTCAAACTTTCTGTTTTTTCTCAACTGTATTTTTTGTTGCTTTTTTTTCTTTAGGACTTGGTATTGGATCAGAAATTCTGAAGAATTTGAGTCAGGTATGCCTGAGTGATAAGTCTAAACAAAGAGCACTGAGGACACATGACAGAGCAGTAGTCTTGCTGGTCTTGCTTTTCTGTTAGCTGCAATCAAGTTTCTCCTTGAGCACTACTCAGTATTAGCATATCTGAGTTACTAAGAGAGATGATAGAGCACCAGACAGCCTTAAACACTGTCTAGAGGCAGTTAAACAGTGGCAAGAGCTGAACTGAGAGATAAACTTCATGACTTATAGTGATATGCAGCTGGCTGTTGCTTAGTGCAAGACCTGTTGACCTGTGGCTGCTCCTTGAAATGTTGTTGCACTTCTGCAGGTTGCTGTCAAGTGCCGCTGCAGCAGTATGCACTTCCTAGTTGCAGAGTGGAATGAGCCCTCCATCAGGTTCTACAAGAGAAGGGGTGCTTCTGATCTGTCCACTGAAGAGGGCTGGAGGCTCTTCAAAATCGACAAAGAGTATCTCTTGAAGATGGCAGCAGAAGAGTAGTGAGAGAAGATTCCAGCAGTCAAACTCTTCAAATGAATATACGTGCTCTCTGAATAAACTCCTTGCTTTCTGTGTTTGTAGTGGAATAAAGTAGTGTGGATGCTAATACTGTGCAACTGTGGTCAGAGTAATTGGTACTGTGAGCTGGAGTGGAGGCATCTCAAGTTGAATATGTGCTTGTATCCATCCTTTACCAGTGTGGGCTTGTAATCTTTGTATATGGAAACTTCATTCTTGTAAGTGTCATTCAAATGTGTACAATGTACACACTGGTAGGGTTTGTTTTATTTCCTTTTATAAAAATAAATAGTTTTCATTCTATGGCAGTGGTCTGACTTTAATTCTCATTTGTAGCCTTCATTTGGATAACACCACTTGTGTCACCCAAACATACTTTCACAAGTGAAGCACTGCTTACCACTGTCCCCAGAAGGGAGAGAAGATACTCTTGTTTTGCTTGCAGGACCTAGGGCTGAGATTCTGCAGTGTCTGGACATCTCTGTGTGGGAAAGATCCAATGAGTGTTGGGTGTGCTTAAATACACTTTGTAGGGAATGCATAAAGCTGTACTGCTCATCAACTCTTTAATCTGTTAAAAAGTTGAAAATAAATGTATCAACTTTGCTTTTCAATACAGTGTCTGCCTTCCTTCCAAAAGGCCAGTGAAAGTGGATGCGTGGGATTTTTATATTTCCGTCCTCTTGCTCCACAGGATGCCCACAATGAAAAGCTTCTTTTGACCAGTGCTGCTTTCAAGTTGAGGGAAGGAGATTTAACCTATCTTGTAAAGTGCAGTGGGTTAAAGGAAATGAAGTTTTACACTGACTTTGGTTGTTGTATAAATTGCATTGTCTGAAAGATGTCTCTTTGTTCTAGAGCATTGGGCAGTAAGAGCATCTGGTAAGGCTAACCTAAATTTGAGAATCAGGCACATGTCAGCCCAGAGGGTGATTCCTAGTAGAGCAGTTTAAGAATGTTTTTATTTTCAAATTAACAGCTCATTAGATATCTAGGACAGAACTGCTTCAGTGTCAAGCCCCACTCCTGTAGCACAATCAAGCTATCAAAGCAGCATGACTGAATGCAACAAGCTTACTAATTAGGCACTGTAAATAGGAAAGCAAACACCCTAGACACATTTTCAAGCAATTTAAAAGTGTTTCTCATATCTTGCTCATCTTCTTCTGCCCCTTCAGTCTGGCATTGTTTTTTTCTAAGCAAATTCCATTGAAGTAGACTCTGAAGGCATCACCAAAAACCTCAGCAGGTAGTGGTAATGGAGAAGACAGCCAGCTGCAGTTGTGCTAAACCTTCACATGCAGAGGTAAAGGCAACCTTTCTGATGTGGTTTGTGGTAGGGATTCTAAAATCAGCCCCTAGGAGAGTGATAGCATAGGTCAAGAAAACAGCAGTGCTAAGTTTTGTTTGACGGCAAACCAGTTATTTTCAGTGCAGGAAGCACAAAACCAGCCCTGTACTTGTGTGTGGGCTGAAGGCATCTCGGCCTCCTGCCTTATCTTATTTGCTTGGTATGGTTTTCCTGCCTCTGGGGAAGTTAGAAAAGGGATGTACTGACAGAGATGGTAATGCTTGCACGAAGGTGAAACCCTTGCCCTGCCAGAAACATTGGGAAAAAGGCTCTTTATGCAAAGCAAGCCAGAGAAACCTTCACAACTAAGACCTTCCCATTGGGTGGGGATGGAAAGGTGGCCTCAGGTTGAGGGAAAGGACAAAGGGACAGCTCCCTGCCCCTCCTTCTGGATGGTTTCCTGCTCACAGGCTCCCTCACAACTGTAGCCATAGTGACAGCAGAGAGGGAGGATTTTTTTTTTGTCCATTTCACTTAAAACATAAAATGTGCAAGAAAAACAGCCCTGCCCCCCCTCTTCTTCTTGCTGTGGACCTCTCCCAGAGCAACCAGCAGTGCCTGCATGACCCCACGTGCTGCCCTGGCACATGGCCTGCTGATCCAGGCTGTGCTGGGAAAACCCCGGGGATGTGTGCAGCCAAGTGCAGAAAGCCATTGCAAAACATAATGCAAATGGACTGGATGCTAGCATAATACTGGTTCTTGCCTCCCTCTGTTGATGAGAAAGGAAGGAAATGCACAAGATCCAAAAGCCCTAAAGGAGGAAACCTTACAAAGCTTCTGAAGGAGCCTGAAACATTGCAACACGAAGTGCCTGACTTCAGCTGAATGGAACAAGCTACCCTTGCTTGGTGTGCTACCCTGTGCCCCCACGCCCTGTACCACTGCAGTCCCTGACCATGGGTCACTCTGCAGCCTCCCCAGTGGTACAGAAATCTTGTGCCAGCACTTTGCTGCTCCAACAGACTTTAGGAACCCCATTTCAGAGAATAGGATGTAATATTTCAATAAAAGATCAGGTGCTCTAAAACAAAACAAAACAAAACACAGCTAGTACGTTGGCAGCTGGTGTTTAATCTCTCTGCAATCTTAGAGCAGGCTGCAACTCTGCCACCCAGGCACAGCTCCCTCCCCATGCCTGAGGCCCAGCTGATCCAAGTTCTTTGCTGGCAAAAACAGCAGCCACATCTGGTAGCTGAACTGAGCACAGGTACACCTTTTCTCCAAAAATAGGGTGGGGAGATAACATTCATCTTCACACCAGACTCAGTTTCATTTTAAGGATTTAAGATAAAAAAAACCCCAGGGGGTGGTTAACTCATGAGAACATAAAACAAATACTGGCTGCAGAACTGCCTCTAAGTTACACAGATTGTTTATTTGCACTTGGACGTCAACTGGGAGCTGGCTGTGTTTGTTCAGAAGGAAACCACATCTCCATTTCCCAAGGCTCTCTTCCTTCTCCCAAGCAGAGAGGCAAGGTCTGCTGCTCATTCCCTGGCACAAGGCAGTGGTCAGAATTACAGAATTATAGAAGGGACACTTAAAGGCCATCTAGTCCAACTCCCCTGAACAAGGACATCCACAGCTCCATCAAGGTGCTCAGAGCCCTGTCCAGCTTCACCCAGTGTCTCCAAGGACAGGGCACCCACCACCTCTGTGGGCAACCTGTGCCAGTGCCTCACCACTCTTACTGTAAAACACTTCTTCCTTATATCCAATTTAAATTTCCCCTCTTTTAGTTTGAAACCATTTCTCCTTGTCCTATCACAACAGACCCTGCTTATGACTGCTTCATTCTTACCACCCCCTTGTAGATACAGAAGGGCCACTATCAGGTCATCTCACAGCCTTCTCTTCTCCAGGCTTCACAGCTCCAGCTCTCTGCCTGTTCTTGTAGGAGAGCTGTTCCATCCCTTGGATCATTTCTCCTCTGGACACACTCCAACAGGTCTATATCTCTCCTGTACTGGCAATCCCACACCTGGACAAAGTATTGCAGGTGAGACCTCACCAGTGCCAAGCAGGGGGACAGGATGTCCCCAACCCACTGTGGGCAGAAGCAGGTGGCTGGCTGCCTACCAGCAGCAGTGCTCCCAAGGTGCTGAGGTGTTTTCAAAACACATGGGTTAAAGTGCAGGGGGAGGATTTTCAAGGCTGGTTGCTGTCACTTGGCATCCCACTGCCACTACAAAGGCACCTTTGAACTGCCGTCCTCTAGCTTTGCTTATGATGGACTCCACCCTGGGTCTTTGTGATCTCCATGAACCTTTGCATTAGCCTTGTTCCAAATGACTGGCACAGCAACAACAACAAATGGACACGAAGAAACAGAAAAACTTCTCAGTTCTGGTTTATAGACTCCATCTTGGTGCAATCAGTTTAGACAGCTGAATTCCACTTTTTTCCCCAGACCAACTTCCTAGCATGGGCCAACACAGATTTGCAAGAACATTAACCACCACACAGCCAAAATGCATTTTGCTGCATTTACAGAAAAAAACACCCCTTGTCCCTTAAAAAACACCGCCACCACCACGATTTACCCCAAAGGAGCAGCTCCCTCCTTGCCTGGGATGCTAGAGGAACAGCAGAAAATGCTGCAGAAGCCTGCCTGCATTCAAGATGCCCTCAGCAAAGGAAAGCCCAGCCAAACTGGTATCAACCCAAAATATTTGGTAGGGTCACAGTGTTTTTGTTTTTTTTTTTTTTGGTTTGGTTTTTAATTACTGCAACTTTTTATTGCTTACTAGATTGATCTTAATCAGCACAGGCCAAACTGCAAAGAAACAGAAGAAAAATTTCCAGTGTGGCCAAGGTGATGGCAGGGTGAGCCCACCGGTGTCTGCCCTGGTGTCCCTGAGATGTGGGGTCTGCCAATGCACTGGGAAGGAAGGGCAGGAGGAGGGTCTGCAGCAGTGCGGGGCATCATGTGCAGGGCTGGCTGTGAAACTGGCCCAGAAACAGAAGGCTCTTACTTTGCAAAATGAGATATCTCAAAGACAAATTCTTGGAATACATCAAGTACCCCCTTGATCACTGTTACCTTCCATCGATCTCTTCAGTCACATATCGGTGGATTTGCAAGCAGGAGTTATTCAGGTCTGAGCAGCACCAGGCAGGTCTGGCAGAGAGACAGAAACAAGCACTAGCACCAAAGAAGTAAGACTGTATTAATTCAATTTTAGACCAAACTGGCTGAAGGTTCCAGGGGTAATGGCAGTCAGCACACACTACTCCTCAGCCATACAGGGAAACACACCCATCTTAGGTAACAACATATCTCCAAGAGCTGGCAGACTGTAAACAAGGCTAAGGGAATGAAGTCCACTGCATGACACAGTGCAGCCAGTTCAAATGAGAGTGAAGTGAGGTCAAGGTTATAGAGTCCCAGAGAAGAAAACCTTACCATAAGCAAATATGCAGGATTTATAGGCATCAGGTGATGACCTTCTCAGCACAGGGAAGCAGTAAAATGATTCTGCATTTCCATGCCAAGCTTGCCATCATCAAACTGTCTGAAATCTGACCAGAAGACCTGTGGGAAGCTATGCCCAAGGGAAGCCCTGCATGCGCAAGGAAGCAACAATCACATTCCCAGCACTGCTTTCCTTGCCATTTGGACTTGGCTGTTGCTTCGGGCTGTGCAAAGCCAAAGAACTTTTCACCCTGCAGTTGGACACCCTCGTGATCCCTGCTGCACGCCCCAGCAGGACCAGCTTCACCTCCACACACGGCCTGTTCCCCTGCGCAGTGCAGGCAGCCAGAGGCACAGATCCTGTACCACTGCAACCCGCTGCAACTGAGTGCTGCACGTTGTGCACCCTTCCCTGCAGATGCATGCTGTGCTCAGAGGGGCTGAATCACAGAACGACAGGATTGATGAGGCTTTTGGGTCCTCTGGGTCCATCAGGTCCTGTCCAAGCAGCGACACCCAGAGCAGGATGCCCAGGTCCAGGCCCACAGCCAGGCAGCTTTTGGAGATCTCCAAGGAGGAGAGGTCCAAGGAGGAAGCTCCAAGGAGGTGCTTTGACACCTGCACAGAGCAGAAATGCTGCCTGGTGCTCAGAGGAAATCTCCTGTGCCACAGTTTCTGCCTATTACCTCTGGCACTGGGCACCACAGAAAAGAGAATAAAATCCTGCACTGCAGGAATGCCTTCCTCCAGCTCCTCCATAGTGAGACATGATGGGTCAGCACCAGCAATTCCTGCAGTGCCAGGTGCCTTCAAACAAGCCATAAAAATACCGGTCAGGAATCTGAAACTCAACGGTTTCTTTTCAGGCAGAGGCTCCACTGCATGAGGTTTATCTGCTCTTTTCTGCCCCAGAACGACCCACCGCCGAACTGGCTCACCTTGAGGTAAACAACATCCTAGCAGCCCAGCACTCAGCAGGAAATCCTTGCCTTTGCTACATCTGCTATGAAGTTATGAGATGCAGCTGTGACCTTCAAGTATGCACCATAAGAAACATCTGGTGCTCTTTTCAGCAAAGCATTCCACAACATTTACAAATCCAAAACAAGCACCAAGTTGGAATTATCATACAATAAATTACTTCAGGGTGTTGAGTTCTGCTTTCAGGAAACTAACAAATGACTGAAGCTTGTTAAGCAATTAGGGCAGCATAACTAGCTGGAGAGGTCCAGTTAGTTTCTTCTTTGCTATAAGCACAATTTTTCTAATTTGTTGTTGTTTGTTTGTTTCTGTTCTTAACCTTTCCTTAGAACAATAGATTTGATGATTAAACCTATAGGTAAATCTCTATTCCAAGAGAGGTGAGCTGCTCTTCTGTCCACCTTACTACATACAAGTCAGCTGTCCTCCAGAAATGTTTAAAACATCTCATGTTAGCTTCCCTTTCCTGAAGTTAAAACGTTTGAATCTCAAAATGCTTAAAGAATATGTTATCTGGAACAATCAAAGGAAAACTGGGCACAAGTTATGCATTCAAGCATTGCCCTTCTACAGTTCAAACTTGATCTGATTCTCACGTTTATGTTACGTTACCAATGTACATTGGAAAAACTGATGCCTCCAGTAAAGAACTCCCCCCAGAGGAAGGGGAAAGCTCTGTTAGATGCACAAGTGGGCAGGCCTCCTCCAAACAAGTCATGTCCCAGCACACAGCGAGCTCCAGGGGCACATGAGGACGAAGCAGTGACAGCAAGGAATGAGGGCTGCTGAAGCATTGGAGCCCAGTGAGGCCTCAGCCCCAGATTCCCTGCAGAAGCCATGCACCCCTCACTTGGCTGTAAGTCACTCATGAAAATGCCCTCAAGGCTTTAGCTTTGGGAGGAAAATGACCTCACCCCTGCTAGAGAGCTGAAGTCTCCTCCTTGGAGATCTCCAAAAGCTGTCTGAATGTGACCCCAGCTCCTGGTCTGGGTGCCCCTGCTTGGGCAGGGGTTGGAGCAGGTCCCTCAGAGGTCCCCGCCAACCTCAGCCATCCTGTGACATTGTGACTAAGGGAGGAGAAGAGATGGAACCAGGAACCCACCCTTACTGGTGAGGAAAGACCTTAAATGACAGTAGGGACGGACGGACACACACACACACACACACACACACACACACACACACACACACACACACGGCACAGCCTCAGGCAGCTGCCTTGGCACAGGGCAATGCAGCAGGGGCTCTGGAGAGCCCAGCCATGCAGCCGGAGGTACAGAGCTGGCACAGAGCCCAGCCCCATGACAGGTCAGTGAGGTCACAGGGCCGCCACAGTGACAAATTAACCCAGCTGAAAAGCTCCGTGTTCCAAATAAATGAACATAAAAGAGTGAACTTACTGTTCTCTGGCTCTCACGGTAATAATTGCCTGCATTTTAAGGAAATGTAGTCATGCAATCAGTGATAAAAGCCATAGCAGTAACTGCACACGAGGAGCCTGAAGGACCTGTTGTAGAGGAACCTAGAAAGCCGAGGGGAGGCCGAGGCGTGACAGCTCTCCCAGGGCCAGAGGCCAGAGCAGCACTGGGAAGGCAGCCAGAAAGGGACCATGGGCCAGAATGAGGTTGTCACCAAAAACCAAGAGCCCAGCCTGGATATGTCACTGGCTGTCCTGCAAGAGAGTCCCAGGGGAAGAGTTGGGCATCCTCAGGGCAGGCTGCTGAGCTGGGCCCTGGGCTCACAAGGAAAACCAAGGTGCTGTTGCAGGCCTGCTGGCCCACAGCCTGCTGAGACAACTCTGTGCTCTAAGCACAGCCCGCTCCGCGGCCAGGGGCTGCAACCTGCTGCAGGCACCAGGGCTGCACTCCTGTGCTCAGCCAGAGACCAACAGACATGAGGGCTTGGTTCCTCCCACAGGTCTGCAGGGCTCAGGGGGAGGCAGGGGCTAGCAGAGGATGCTCCTGCATTAGCCCTCCTTTAGCACACCTCAGAACACAAGGACAGGTCCCGCAGGGGCTAATGCCACTCTAAAAATGCGTCATGCATGATGCATGACAGCAAACATACTGCTCCTGGACAGCCTCCCTGCCTTCAGCAGCCACCTTTTGTCCAGGCAGTTGGAAACTATTCTTTTAAGATAGATCAAAAAACCCTACAGGAACAGTTCCAAGGGTAGGCGCACAGCTGATGTCAGCAGGCTGTGTTCAACAACAAAACCCGTTTTTTGTAGGAAGCCAAAGCATGGCACAGCGCTTTGAACGGAGGTTACCTTTATGATTCATGGTATGAATGAGCACTTGCTCGATTGCCCTACGAGTCAGGAAATGGCTCCCTCAGGAAGTGAGTCTGAGGCTGGCTGTATTTACAGAGACGTTTGTGGACTTAATCTAGGGCAGATGGTGGGGGAAGGGAAGAACCCCTTTCACTATGGATGGATGCACAGTTCCGTGCATTTCCGTACACAAATACTAACAAAAAAAGAAAGGATCCAGAAACACAAAGCCATAGAATCATTAAGGTTGGAAAAGACCACTGAGATCATCTAGTCCAGCCACCAGCCCAACCCCACCATGCCCACTAACCGTGCCTCTCAGTGCCACATCTCCACAGCTCTTGAACACCAACAGGGACGGTGACTCCATCTCCCTGGGCAGCCTCCATAGCTTTCTGCTTACAAGCTTTGATTGGTACATGCATGCAGTCACTTAGTCTTGCCCAGCTTAATGCTTAATCCTTCTCCCTGCCTCCAGGAAGATGAAGGTGCTCTTCTGCACCCCCAGGAAGTCATCACAAAGGCAGTAACTCTGCACGTCTCTGTTCCAGGCCTGCTTTCCCCCCTGGCAGGCTCCATCTGGGGATTGAGGTCAGCTCCATGCTGCAGATGACTCCTCCAATGCATGGGTGCTGTGCCCTGGAGCTGAGTGCATCACGTTGACTACACAGACAATGGGTTTATTACTTCAATGGGACAGAGACCATAGGATTTCAAAGAATTCCAGTATGGGAAGTGGTATGGTTGTGTAGCCATAATGCAGCAACACTGGAAAAAAAAGGAGATTTCTCATTCTTCCTTCTAAGTTAATTCACTTACCTGATCACTCATTTCTGCATTAAAAGGCATGCTGAGCAAGTCCTGGTCCAACACCTGGACCAGCTCCCCAGTATTAAGCTGCAAGCTGCCTTCCCTGGGCAGAAGGACTGAAGAAGCCCAGTAGCTAAAGGACCACAGCAAGAGTCTTCTGGAGCAACAGCCCTCTGCTGCACAGTGCACCATAGCAAACAACCCACCATCCCCACCTTGCTAGTTTCTGTGGCTCTGTTACTAACCTCAACATTCAGATTACAAGTAAAGCACATCCTTTAGCTTTAGTCCCTGTCACATTAAACTCCTGAGGCTTATGCAGTTCCTATATTCATAGTATAAGCATAGCATAAACATAGTTTCCAGACCTTCGCTGTTTTTACAGTGGGCAGAGACCTGACTGTTGGGATCCTGTTTGTGTGCAGCTCAGACTGCTCCATGGCTGCTGCTGCTGGGAACATACTAACAAGTTGCCCAGGGGCAGCCTCTCTCTTTACAGACCCAAAAAAACAAAATACCCACCAAAAGTTTGTCAGCCCATGGCCCCAGGACACCTCACCATCTATCAAGATCATCCCTCGATATCTGGGTCTCACGATGGAGCATCACACCCAGCTCACCTGCTGCAGCTGGATATGCTTCACACACCCACCTTGCTTTGGGTGTTGGCAGACAAAAGGTCTGCAGGAATCAAAAGAGCCTGACAGCTTGGCCTGGAGCAGGTACTATAAAAAAATCCATTTTTAGGGAAAGAAGATTGATAACCACCTGTGAGATATCCCAAGCCCACTTTTGATTTCTCCAGCTTTCAAGCCCAATGCAACAGCTACCAGTAACACCAGGTGAAAACGTGGTAGTAAGAGCAGGAATCCATAACACCAAGATAACAAGATGAAAGGCCAGATCAGGCACTGGTCTTTAACAAGATGACCAACAATGAACTTCACTGACATGAAATGGGAGAAAACAATGCAATTGCATCAATACACCAGCACTGCTTTCAGAGAGGCCTTGAGAAAGCAGTCAGCTCCTGACACATCAAGAACAATACACAGTCAAGAAACACCAGAATCAGCTGATTGCCCAGATGCAGAAGGACAGGATGTTGTTACACAAGACTTTTTTTTTTCCGCTAAGAGATATCTCCTCTTCTGCTTTGTAGTTATGATATTGCTATCAAAGGTTTTTCTTTCTTTTCAAAGCAGCTTTTGTACCTGTCAAAAACATTACACAGGGCTGTTGACCCAGGCAGCTGCCAGGCCATCCAGGTGCAATAGTTGGTCCTCCTCTGAGATGCTACATTCAGAGAGATTCAGAAAGGCCCAGTGGGAAAGTATGTTGGCTCCTCTGGCAAGCCTGCAGAACTGAAATGCTTTCTGCTAACAGCAGATTATTATATTAAAACTGGCTTTACAAGGAGCTTGTAGTTTATAGGAGGGCATGAAAACAACAGTAAGGAATTAGAAAAAGGAAAAAAAAAAAAAGTACTCATACAATTTTTTCTGCCAGGGTTAATAAACAGAGCTGTAGCAAGCCACTTCTCCAGCTCTAAAGTACAACTCCCGCTGTCTCAATCTTGCTTTCTCATACTGAAGAATTGTAACTCTCCTCAATAGTGACAGCTACAACAAGGAAGGTTCCAAAATACTGGTGATAAGTTCATATTGGGGGCCTTTTGCAGTCAGAGCATTGAGCCAACTTTTTTTCTTTCAGTAAACACTTGTGCCAAAATAGTGTGGTATTACTCAAGGCTGCAAGGTTTTGCACTTACATGGGCTAGCAATTAATAGTCAGCTAATGACATATTTCTGGCAAAATGAGAGGCTGTGTTATTCACATTTACTCAGACAAAAAAAAAAACACTATGTATAGGAATTTCCATCCCAGACCAAGGGCTGAATTGGATAACCAGATCATCTCCACAAGGTCCACAAGAGCTTAAAGATTGTGTTTTTAAGAGGCAGCATTGCAACCCATCCCTAGTAAATTTGCTGACACTGCGACTGAGGGTGCTGAGATGAGGACAGTTTCCTCATTTACACTGGCTCCAGTTACCAAGTCGAAAGGCTTAGGGTGGAAGGTTGATCAAATTGCTGATGTGAAACTTGGGAGGGGAATATACTGCTTTTATCTTATGTTGTAATACTCACAAGCAAAGTCTCGCAGAAGATAACACATGCAAAAAAGAGGCCGCAACATCTGTGTATGTATACATCTATAAAACAGCAGCCAACTGCTCTCCTGTTCCTCATGAGGAGTGTGCCAAGTGAGTTGAATGCCAATGACCTCTTGCGCTCTCAAAAGCATGCAACATTATTTTTCTGTACTTGTAAAAAATCATTGCTGGAAGAGGTAAGGATTCCAGTTAGGGACATCTTGTTCCAATTTCAGAACCATCTCCTCATCTGAGTATGCAGGTGGCTGAAGGCAGCCTTTTCCTGATAGATAAAAGCATTTGCAGCCTATTGTTTGGGGACATTTCTAAGCAGCAGTGTAAACAGGCAAAATAAAGATGCACCCAAATGAAAAGCATTTGAGACACTATACTTAGTTAACATGGGATATTTTAAACACAACACGTACAATTATTTACCAGCCTAAAACGTTCATAAAAACATGTGCTGAACATTTTGTGAGATACTATTTTCTGCCTGAGGCAACTACATGCCTTACGCCTGTATCAAAGAATTTGTCTGCTTTATAATGCCCACACAGACTGGCATTAGCATTGCCAAGGTTTTTCCTCTGTGGAAGTCTATGGAATACAGTCAGCTGGAAAACCGCAGCAAGTAATTACAAAGATGTTTAAAAACATTTTAAATCCAATTTACCTTGCAGTTTCTTGCCTTTTTCTTCCAGAATTCATCTACAGGCACTTGTTTAGTTCCATCCTTCCCTCATATTCACTGATGACTAATTTAGGAACATTTAAGATTCACCCACAGAACTTTAAATGTTATGAGCTGCCTGGATTACAAACATCACAACTGACTCTGTATCAGTATCTCCTGAAGCATCACCAAGGGAAACATTCCTGAAAATGGCAACAAATGATGATTTTATTGTGAAAAATGGTTTTATTGTGAAAAGATTTCAAAATGTTCGCTTTTTCTTTCCTTCCCTAGCCCAGAATGAGGAAACAGACAAGTCATTCTATAGCGTGTTCTCACCACCATAATATTCTCATTCCCATTGAGCTGTGCATTCAAGCAAAAACAAGAACAAACATTAACAGCTCCATTCCCACCCGTCTACTAGACAGGAATTCACAGATGCTTCATTATATACCTCCCACTGGCACTGGTGAGGCAGAAGATTTGTATAGAAAGGAGAGGGAGACTCAGACAAAACACAAGATTCATTGTAATTGCTGTAATGCATAATTCCATTACCTAATGTCAACCAAAACACTGTGCTACTTCAAGCTTTTTTTCCTCACTGTTAGATGTACTGGCATTGTCAAAAGCATCTTAAGAACCTTTCCTAGATCATACCAAGGTCAGATATACGAGCTTAAAGAACACAGGAAAAGAAATCATAACCATTTTATGTAATAGGAATTTTATTTTATACATAAATAATAACAAGACTGAGGAATTTTGAGACTTGCTACTTGCAGTGCTGATCCTGCAACAGGACAAGTGTGGCAAACTTAACTCCCACTGCAGAACAGAAGACAAGGTCTCAAGATTGACCCAAAATACAGTGTCCTTTTACAAACGCCATCCCAGAAGCCCAAGCAGCACATTGACAGTCTTTCCTGAGGCAGAAGGCAGATTAGTCACATTCAAAATCAAAATGGGTTCCGATGGTTATCCTCTTTTTCCTGGGAAATCATTGCTTCTATCTATATTTTTATTCGCCTGAAGTCAAAAGTAGGGCACAACTGGTATTGAGAAGCGTGAAGAAAAGAAAAAAAACAGAATTATGATACCATAGGCCTTTTAATTGTCAAAATGCATTTGTATTTTTTTCTTTGATGTTGAAAGTTGATCAAAATCTATTTGATGAACGCTCTCACTACTAACACCCTGTGTAGGGATTTAAGTAATCAGATTTCTGACATCACAGCACTAATCATAGAATGGCTAAGGTTGGAAGGAACCCCAAGGATCATCAAGTTCCTTGGTTTCTATAGCTGTGCTGTATGGAAATATAAAAGAGAAAGAACATTTCATAGCAACAAAGCATCAACTGGCATCTTTTGTAATAAATCAGCATTCTCAAATGGAATTCTATTTCATTTCCATCGGGTGTACTTTCTCTAATCTGATTTACTCTGGTATAAACCTAGGGTAATTTAATTGGAACAAATAGATAAAAATAGAACCTGAACAGGTTAAAAATGACAGATGCCATGGAAAAACACACTTTTCTCACCTCCATAAAGTTCACCAGCACAACAACCGGATAAAGTTGAAGCTTGTCTCTCCCATGATGGGATGGATGTGGTTGGGGTTGTAGTTCGCATATAACTGCTAACTACAAACATGCACTGAAGTGCAGTGCTGCTGTTTTTTTGGAACGGAGAAACATGTTACTGCTTCCAAGCCAAAGCAATTTTGTCCCTGGCTGATCAGTCAAAATTCAAGGACCCATGCTGTGACAAATCCTTATAAGGAAAATGAGACCACATTTACTTTATAACCAGATTCAACTAGGAGTATTGCCAAGTTTAAAATACAGTGAGACTTTCAGGACTGATCTCATTCAGAATAAACAAACTCATCTTTTCAAAGATCACAGCAGTGTTCTCCAACGTTTGGGATCACCCAAATCCAACAAAATAGCTGGAAACTTGAGTATGAAGTTAAATAATCAGATTTGATTTCAAGCAGAAGTAACAAATTGCCACCCCCATAGAACAGCTGGAAATTGAGACTGAATTGAACTTCCATCATTTGGTTGCTCTAGGTCAAAACTCTAGTAGTTGTATTTATGCATCTCCTCCAGAAACAACATGTGGCAAAGCAAGCAGATTTCAAAACCAGCAGCACCCAAATACTTTAAACACATGAGCAATCTTAACTCTAACAAGAAATACAGTAGAACATCTGAGGCAGCAGCCGTTAAAAAAAGCATACCTCAAAACTTACTCTACTTATATAGCATGAGTATACGTATATAATTATGATTGAAATCCTGAAGATCCTGGATAGCTTTAGTACAAATCTTCCTGACAGCTTTTCCTCCTACTTGTTGTTTTGTTTTTTTTTTTTTTTTAATTCTTCTTCAAAAGAAAACTTGCCATGAGCACAAGTACTGATGTCTCAGAAAGTGAGTAAAGACCTGGCAGAAATTAAGCTCATATGCTAAAGAAAATAAGATCTATTTATGGGTTTCTGTTTTGTATTGAACCTTGGGACAGTCCCATAAATATACAAAAATTAAGCTTCCCCGGCTTTTTATCACTTATTAACACTATCCTAAAAAGCAGCACAATAGTGAATTTCAGAGCAGCTTTCCTTCCTCTTGCTTTTCCTGAGTATCTTACATAAAACAAGGTTTTTTTTCTATATTTTTAATGTGGCTGTCTTACAAGATACTAGAAAACACGTCTAGAGACTTCATATTCTGATAGAAAACTAATTCTTTTGTCTGAAGGAAAACCTCAAAAGGGCAAAGATACTTTGAGTGGCTGATTTACTGAGAACTAGCTATAGCAATTAAATATTTATTAATGGAAGCACAACATTAAAAACTAGTTTTGCTGTTAAAGCTGTAAAAGTAGAACACTGTTGTTCAGCAGACGTGTGCACTCTGCATAGTGTTTGTGACTGGTGATGATGCATGGAATAAAAACTGGTGGAGTTTTCTAAATCTGAGAAATCTTTAGAAAGCAGCCTAAAACAGAACTGGAGTCTCAACTTTAGCTTCTGGCTCAAAGCACTGAAACACTGCCTCCACTTCCTGCATATGGTTCCCAACTGAAGAAGCAAGTTTCATTAGTGAAGTGCACAAATATGAAAGGTCAGGCACACCACAGATTGTTACAGGCTGTAAGATGAGGCGGTACTTGAAACTGGCAAAACTTTAGAGAAAACGTAAGAGCAGAGAATAGGTTCCTCTCCCCTTCTTCATACCTGCACAGGCAAGTGCTTTTTTGGTACTGGAGGTAGAAATGGGATGGGAGAAGAAAACAATCAAACAGTATTGAAATTGTTACCTCTCTTCCCCTTTACATCTACATGAAGAAGATAACTACGTACAAGTCCAATCTGCAAGTGTTTGTGTTACTATGCAGCTGTGGTCATATACTATTACTGATTTTTATCCTCTACCTGTTTGACATCAAGTGATCCAATGTTCTACTTCAAGGCTCGCTCTTCATTTGAAGCAGTGTGGATTTCCAAGGGCTTGTCACCCTCCACTTCACCCTTAAGGAGAGAAAAACAGGCACAACACTTCATTATTAATATTTTTGCTAGAACAGGAGCCCTTATCAAAAGCTGGAACAAAACCTTCTTGCAAAAATCAAGTGATTGATGAGGCTAGTTCATTGTGATACTCTCCCCAAACTGTTTCGAGATTTTAGTCTTCCTGTAGTTAGCTCAACAATTAATGGATTTGAAAGAACAAGTAGCTCAACAGAAGATGCTTTAATTGACTCATTTTTGCCTGCACTAATAACAGAGGATGAATTCCCACAGAGTAGTTGCTATTTTGCATTCTTTGAATTCTGTGTGAACTTATACAATAGGCCTCTTTTAGTACAAATCCTTTGAAAGAGTGTTCTCACACTTTCTCTGAAATAAATGATGGAAATCAAAGAATGAAGAGAGGCTTGTTACAGCATCTGGTTTATCTATTTGCCAAGTATGCTATAACAAACAGTCACTTGATTACAGTTTTAAATAGATGTCAATAAAAAAGAAAAAAACTTAAAGGGACATCCACACAGAGGAACGAAGAACACAGCATTGGAGAACAGTCTGAGAGATCTAGGCCTCTTCAGACTCGAGAAGACCAGACAAAGGGGAAGTCCAATTTCTATACAGTCACTTAATGGCTATTTACATATTTGGAAGAGCCAGGCACTTCTCAGATTCTCAGAGGTCCACACCAAAAGGACAGGGAGAAAAGGACATGGAAGCAGTACAGCAAGTTTCTAGTAGTAGATATAAGGAAAGAGAGAAATAAATCACACTACAGGTTGCCCAGAGAAGTTGCTGAATCTCTTATCTTTGGAGATATTCACCACTTGACTGGACAAGGCCCATGCCACCAAATCTATCTTCAAAGCTGGTTCTCCTTTGAACATGGGGAAGGATGAAATGATGGGAGGCCACACCCGACCTCAGTTATTTTTACATTTTCAACACTAAAATTAAATTGTCCTTTGTCCGTATTCAGAAAAGAGATTTTTACCAATATGCCTTAAATAAATGTGATGAAAAAATGTAACAAAATAAGCAGGAAGAGACTAGAAAACAATAACAATTATACAGGACCATTGAAATTTATGCTCCAGCACAAGTTAAACAGTAAGCCAGAGGCACAGAATCCATGAAACGCTTTATATGCTGTGCTGGAGATAAGGACCCAATACACCAAGATTCAATTATGAATATAATTCTTACAGTTCCTACTCAAAATATGACTAGCAAGACTTTTAGAAGATAAGTCTTTCTTTAAAAAGAAAACACACTGTTTTGATCACTATCCTGGATATTTCATAGTAAATGAAGTCATATCCACAGAACACACCCATTTCAAAGCAATGACATAGCTCATAATTCTCACGTACAGGAACTTGTACGTTCTGACAGTGAACAAAGTGACTCATGATGTCTCATCTCAGGGATTACTCAATCCTGAACAAATGAACTGAAAATAAGTTGTTCACAGAGGGTTCTGCGTTCTTCCACTTGCTTGTTTTGACTTGTAAAAATGAAAATGATACCCAGGTAGGGTGCTTACTCTTTTTTGTGTTTGTTTGGCCCTGTAAGGGGGGGGGGAAAGGGGGAAAAAGCCAATACAACAAACAATAACAAGCGTAGGGAAACAGGGATTCTGCTCAGTTCATTTGTGCTGATGAGATCAGTAGGTCTCATCACAAGACTTGTCTTCACCAGATCTGTCAGGAGTTGTTTAATTCAAGTCAAACCACCGCTAAACTGTCACTCCTCCTCATATACAAACATGTTTGTTCAATTAGCAATTAATAAATTCTTTTAACTGGTGTTAACCTGTGCTTAGTGCACCAGTAGTGAGTGAGCCTGATAAAGCATTAAAGCAGGTAGCCAGAAAAAGAAGTCCTTCAAGCTGGCACAGGATACAAACACAATTTTACCAAGTGCCAAGGTCCTCAAGTCACACCCAAAACAAATTAGAAGCTAACAAACACGGTTAAGTCAATGACCCAAAAGACAGCCTCCTCCATGGCACAATGCCTTCTTTTTATTAGAAGCAGGCACATAGTCAAAAATCTTCCTATTTTCTGGCTCAACACAACCACTTCATAACATATCTGGGTGAACAGAGGAGTTCATGCATCAGATTTCTATCCCGCAGCAGGAACGGAAATATTTTGTATTCTTATGCAACTGACATTTTCAAAAGCACGGTGACTGTAACAAATCTCACTAATGCACTCCTGTATTCAATACACTAGGATTCCTCAAGATTTAAAGAAAAAAATCATTATTTGAAATTCAAAATAATGAAAGTAAGGTGACTGACTGTACACAATGCTTTTTATAAAGTTTCATTCGATGGCTGATAAAAAAAAGTCAAGTAGATTTCACTGAGACATAAGCTCTAGACTTGAAAACTTCAAACAGGGATTGCTGTAACATTTTTACTAACATATTTAGAAAAAGTTCAAAAGCAAGCTGGTCTAGTTAAAAAAAAAGGGGGGGAGTGGTGGGGCTTGCAAAAGAGATCTGGCCCCAGAAAAGAACAATTACAAAAGAAAAACAAAGCACTTAGGCTCACAGATTAATAATTTGCCCTTTCTTCTGTCTCTTTTGTTTGCCAAATGTTGCTTAGAATAAAGATATCATCCTCTCCCAGTCAGTCAATAGCAACACATTCTCAGTTGCTTACTTCTAGTTGAGCCTGAAATTTGCTCTCTCAGAAATATGGAGCACTTCAAAAATGTCATTGTATTTTAACACACTCTAAAAAGCACAACCTTTCATAGGGTAGACTCTTCCTTTTTCACCTCTCAAACACTCATATTCATCACAACCAAACTAAGGATTCAGCCTCCCAAAACTGCAACCTTTTCAAGTTCCTCTCTGTTTTTGTTCTTACTACCAAAACAACAAAAAGTGGATGTATGACAGCAGACAGTATTTTCTGTCAGAAGTAGATGTTTATCATTTAGTTCAGGTTGCCGTCTCTTAAGAAGCCACCAATGACAAATCTTTGGTATTTACAGGAAATCTGTCAGCTGCTCATGCACTGTTTTAAAATATATTTAAACCACAAGTGAGTCAAAACTCCCAAAACACGATTTAGGTTTGCTATGATGACCATTAATGATGTCCATGGTTAAGTTACCCAGTCAAGACACCGACACCACAACTTCCACTTTCACCACTCCATTGATCCCAGTGCAAGAAATGAGCAACCCAAAGCTGAACAGTCTTTGGGCTTGAGAGAACTCTGTTACCAGCTGATGCTTAATAAGATATTCAAATAGCTGTGCTTAACTAAGCATGTGTAGGTATGTATGTACATATGTACTTCTGCATATGCAGAAAGTATTGGTAAATTTCAGGTAGTTTCTATTGGTGGACCAGGAATGAAACTCAAACAATAAGCTGTATGAGTTTCTCTGAATTTCTGAAGCTCTTTTAAAAAAATATAAACAATAGACAGCATGGGAAAAAATAAAAGAATCAGTTTTCTGTAAGATTTATTAGTGATTGGAACAAGGTGAGAAAAAGCACACAAAAAAAGGAACACAAACTGAAAAGGGGGATGTTATTAGAGCTCTAGTGCTGTTCCGTTTCACTACGTTTCAGCCATTTCAGTAAAAAGAGTGGGTGCCTGATTCACTATCAAGGGGAAGAGGGAGAATCCAAAACATCTGAGAACAGAGCAAGCTAACTCTTTGATTGGTATAAAGACAAGACAAAGAAAGAACTAACTGACAGAGCAAAATGTTCTTCTGTGTTTCAGTATGTTTCAGCTCTCTGGCTGGAACAAAACCTGTGTCTAAGTGACTTGGTGCCAGGACACAGGCCTTCATCACTTGAAGATGAAACCACTGCAGCACAAGAGCTAACAACCCTACAGAACAGTACAGATGATAAAAATAGCGAAACCAGAGACAAAAGAGGAAGGACAAAAAAGGCCACATTTCATGACAGCTATCATCAGATGAGCAGAGTGACAAACAAGAAACTTACAGGTCAGCTGTATTAAACTGGGGCTCTGAAATACAGATGTTTAAGCAGTCTTCTGTAAAGAAGTTATTACCTTTTGCATATAAAGCTACAGTTCTTAAAGCTGTTGCACAAAAATCCTCCAGCCATTATAGTTGTTTTAGCCCTCTGATTTAAGAGCAAGTATTACAGCTGACAAATTCATTGAGAATTAAACAGAGATGCTATAGTGGGAAAAAAAAGAAGCTGCAATTCACAGGCTTAACAGTTCAGCTAGCACAGAATGGTAAAGCAAGACAAAAAGTGTAGAGGAAGGAGGTCTTGCATGGATTTTATTGGGGAAAGAGACCAGTTACTTAACAAAGACTAACCAGAGCCAATGCAGAGTATGAGCCTTCATAATTGCAAACTTCCAGTAATGAAAGTTTGGTGTTGCCTAAGGCTACTCAAAAGAGCTCCAAACAGTATTCATCATTCCTAAAAAACGTATAAATCATAGATATGATTCTCTATAAACTGCAAACCAAGGTAAACAAGGTTTGAACTTCACTGTCACCTTTTCACTTCACTGCCACCTTTCCTGAAGGCTTACTGTTTGGTAATATAAATGCTAACAGTAATTTCACTGATATTTGTGAAATCACTACTTGTGAGAGAGTAATCAAGCAAGCAAAAAAAATATTCAGAAAATAGAATGCTTAACATACATCTGGCCTACCAATTAGCTGGTTATATTTCTTGTTCTGTCTTCCCTGTTTAAGAAATAGCAAAGTTGTCCACTTTATATCAAGGTAACATACATAGAAACTAATTAACCACTCCTCATGTCCTTTTTGAAGATGATGTTTCATCCTTCTTTAAGTAAAAAACATGAACATAGATTGTCACTTGTGGTACCTTTATAGTTTCAGTTGAGCGCTTCTAATCTGACAACCACTTCCTTCAACAAACCAGCATCAGGATATCAAAATGCTATACTGCAAATCACATATTCAAAACTAGAGACTAACTTGGTGTATGGAGGGGCTCCAGTCAACATTTCAAACACAGCAACAAAATGTCCTGGAATTCATCTTTCTTGGCAGAACCTAGTTGATATGACCTCAATTTGGCATAGCTTACTGCCTCATAAAACCTTTAGGAAATCCACATAGCACATCTATTTTAATGACCTACTGCTGCACAAACATGAAGTTATGCACAGCTGTGGTACCTATCAAACAAATTATAAGCTGTGTAACAAATTAACACAAGCCAAGAAGAGCCACCCATATAGAGTTTGATTATTTGCAACATCCTTTATGTAGCAACAAAAAAGCGCTAGAGCAAATGTCACAAAAACAAACAAGTAACATCATTTGCTCTGGCGTGGTTTCAGGAACAACTGCCATGATAAGAATTCAAGAATAACATTTGCATTTGCCTTCACTGGTTAGGAAGCCTAGCTGCCTGCTACATCAATAGGGAAAGAATATACAAAAATTATTTCACCATGTTGTCAAATTAGGGTAGAAAAAAACCTGTAGTCCTACAACCTACCCCAGAATGCTTTGTCAACTTTGGTACGTGATAGTTAGAAGTATTTACAGAATCATAGAATTGCTCAGGTTGAAAAAGACCTTAAAGATCACCAAGTCCAACCACAACCTAACCGTAATACCCTAACAACACTCTGCTAAATCATGTCCCTGAGCACCACATGCAAACAGTTTTTAAACACATCCAGGGACGGTAAATTTCTTGACATTTCTGTAGAAGTCCTATTGATGAAGAGTTTGTACTGATTTGCTGGATCTCATAGACTGTACAAACAAAAAGTACCTTTTTACATTAGTATAACCACAGAACATTAGTGATGGACAGAAAAAGTTTTTCTACAGGAGGCTTCCCCTCTCATTTTAGAGGTGTTCTGGTGGTCTGTATGTACAAAAGAAAGTGGAGGTTTTCATTAATAGGTACGGCTGACCACATCATCACAGAACATCACTATACTATCATTAATAAGCGAACAAAACAAACAAAATCATATCTTTTCAACTATATATTTGGTACTGTTTTACCAATTTAGACCTTAGGAAATTGCCCAGCAGGCTTTTCTCATCACCAGCTTAACTGACAGCAGTTAACACCAACAACACCTGACCAGTTACATTATCTCTAGAAGGGAACTGTTCAATCTTTTGTGCAAATAATATTTTGGAAACTGAGGAGCATGATATAAAGACTCAGCAAGGAGGAAGAGAAAGAAGTGTGTTTACTCAGTGGTCTCTAACTTTGCATGTTCTTTGTTTTTCTGCTGAGGCAGCAAGTGCTTGAATAAACCTTATAGTACGATGAAGGCTTCAAAACTTTTTGCCTTCCAGTAACAACCACGTGTTTCCTTTTGACATCTTAGGACACAATAAAATAAAAAGCTCAGCTAATTCTTACTGATGCAGCCAGTTTACCTTTCTGACATATTTTTATGTTGCCTATTTTTTTGAGACATTTTTTGACAGATGAGGTTTTAGGAGAGGTACAATATGATTAACTAACCTTTGCTTATTCAAAGAGTAACACAAGGGCATTAATTAAAGAGCCTAGGGGCCAGAACAGGGCGAGTATCCACAAGAAAAGTCAGCTGATGATGGCTCCCCTAAGACTCAGCAACTGATAAGATAGGTGAGCATTTCTCCAACCCATTTTGTTTGGAACCAACCCCATGCACAGCCCCACACAGGAAACTCTCTTCAATACCCAATAATAATTCAAGTGCAGTTGCCTGTGCAACCTGTTTCTCTTGGTGGCCATCCTACTTACTTCTTAGACCTCTAGGTTGCAAATGTCTTGCTGTGGTCTTCTGGCTTCTGTTTCCAGAACACCACCATTAAAGCTATGTATCATCATCAACCTAGCATGAACTGTTAACATACTTACCAGTATGAACTGTTACCAGTTCATATTAGGTCACAGTGAACCACCAAGGCTTTCTGCTGGTTCAAAACTGTTTTCAAATCACATTTTAGTTCTGCCACGCTAAATCAAATAACTAAAATAAGAGAAAGGAAGCAATCTGCTGCTAAGGCAGCAGTTTGTATCAGCAGAAGTAGTACAGCTGCTTAGAAATTAGGAATAAAGAACACACTGAGTCTAACAGTGGATTTTAAACCTACAATGCTTTATGTTACATAGTTGAATTTTTAACTAAAAGTTTAAAAAAATTCCCTGAAAAATCTTACAGGCTGTCCCTCATGCACATTTTATATAACTGCACAATTGTTCAGTCTCTTACACTGCAATTCACTGAGCCATCCACATATATCTGGTTTCTTTATCTATATCAGAGGTACAACTACAAGGACAGCCTGCCCCTGAGGCCTAATGTAAGCGTGCAGTAGATAAAAAACAAACATCATTAAGATAATTAACTCCAGAAGCTTTAGGCAGCCTATAAATTATGACCCAGACATTACATAATGTAATGAATCAACAAAACAAGTTCCCCTTTCTTCACAAGTCAATTCTAATTGTCAACTAATATAACTTACTGCACTAATTAGTGCACACTGCACTACTTTTGAATCTTGCATTTTGTAGAATGCAAAATAGATTTGAAGTAAAATAGCATCTTTCTTCAAATTTTGTGGGTTTTCTTTTTTGTGGAGTATTTATGAATAGTTGCCTGAGCATAACAATGCCACTGCATGCTGCTCTATCAGACATTACTATCCAGTCACAACACATAGATCTAATAAAAATAAGCAATGATAGAAATATAAAACAACTACAAAAATAAAACTTCCAACCACTTTCTGAAATTGAAATAAGCCTAGTATTTTTCCACAACTTAGAAATATAACATAAAATCTCTGTCTTTAGAAAGGTAAGCTGAGTCAGAGTAAGTAAAATTATTTCTTTGTCTGAAAACATGTTGGTAGATTTTCTCCTGATCCAGAAATCAAGTTTCTCAATCTTCTTACCTTATCACCTTTTTTCCCAGATTTCTTTTTTTTAGAATTATCCTTCCAAAGAGATTCTACAGCAATATATCCCTGAAGACTCCAGTCATACAGATGGGTACCAGCAACCTTTGAAACAAAAGATATTTGAAAGCATGAGTCTAATAATCGGAGAAATATTGATTTGTTTCTTGTTCACATGGAAAAAATCCCAGAACCCAAGACCTTTAACATCTTCCTGTTCAAGCTCAGAGAATAAAGTCTTAATTAACATCTTGGGGAAAAATAATACATGGGAAATTAGAAAAGCCAACTTGCTAGAAAAGCACTGTTAGAAGACTACATGAAATACATCTGTATAAAAAGGAGTGGAATGATGATGCACGGAAGCAATTCTGGGTTTTATAATGTTAGTACTCTATATTTTCAATATATTTAATATATACAAATTATTTCTTCAATCGTCCATGCTCACTTTAAAGAGAAAAAAAAAAATCACTCTCACTTTGATACTATTTTGCAATTTTACATTTTCACTGTTATGACAGACTAGTAGGAGTGCTCCCTTGTTTCTTCTTATTTGCAATTTAGAACAAAAACTTGATTTGTTGATAGACGGCTGTAACAAATAAGTAGCTATTAAGCCTCAAAACAGAAGACAGCTAAGGAAAGACAGTGCTTGCTATATTACACCAACAGGGAATTCTGTAACAGGACAAATGGCAGGTCCTGCTTGACCAACCTGATCTCCTTCTATGATCTAGTGACCAGTATGGCAGATGAGAGAAAGATGAGAGAAAGGCTGTTGATGTAGTCTACTTAGACTTCAGCAAGGCCTTTGACACTGCCTCCCACAGTATCCTCCTGCAGAAGCTGGCAGCCCATGGCTTGGACAAGTATGCTTTAGGCTGGATAAGGAACTGGCTGGAAGGCTGGGCCGAGAGTGGTAGTGAATGGAGCTAAATCCAGCTGGCGACCAGTCACAAGTGGAGTTCCCCAAGGGTCAGTGTTGGGGCCTGTCCTCTTCAATACCTTTATTGATGATCTGGATGAGGGCATTGAGTGCATCCTCAGTAAGTTTGCAGATGACACCAAGTTGGCTGGAAGTGTCGATCT